GGGAAGGAGCAGTGGACACACTGGGAAGGAGCAGTGGACACAGTGAATGAGCAGTGGAGACATTGGGAAGGAGCGCCAGCTCATCACAGGGACCCCAGGGAAACAGACACAATGCAGCACAGCCTGCTGTCTCTTACCTTTAGTTAAAGTTGGGTGGTTTCTGACCACACAGTACTTTCAAAGCAAGTCTTTGAGTCTCACATCTCTGCGCTATTTACTAATACAAGTAAAAGGCAATGTAGGCTTTAAGCTAAATGGCATGTCTTTCCTCTTTACGGTTCCCTGTGAATTAAAACAGGGTTGTCCTTGGCACTAGAGTGGTGGGACTGGAAAATTCTCCTTATGTCCCTACAGAGTACAGTACGATCCACAGCCCTTCAACGCCCATTAAAGATTCTGATTCTGATCGACTGCGTCGAGGTGCAGATGGGAAGTCACGTGGCCGAGGCAGGAGAAATAATAACCCCTCACCTCCTCCGGATTCTGATCTTGAGGTATGTCACTGCCCATACTTAAATAAAAAACTAGGTACCACGTAGCTCATTAACAGTTCAATAGAAGTGTCCTGTGACATCAGCCAATACCCCAACACTTGGGTCATTGCTTGTTGTTCATATTAGCAAAGTAAAACATTTTTTTCTCTCTTTTATATTACCTGCCTATCATACCTAGTTTTCATAGCTGATATAATTTGCTGGTGGGTGTTTCTGCTGTTGTTCTGCAGTACAGGGTTGGAGTACAAGACCTCAAACAACCTGCATGAGGGCTGCAACATTGAGTGTCTTCCTGCTTTCTGTAATTGTTTACTTCGGTATTTTCTTTCACAATGTCTACACAGTAGAGGGTCTATTTCTTTCATCCTCAAGAAATTTAGTAGCCAGATGTGGTGACACACACCCACAGTCCCAGCACGGGGCGGGGTGGGGGGTGGGGATAGAGGTAGAAGGATCGAAAGTTGAAAGTCATTCTTGGCTCATGATGAGTCTGAGGCCATCCAAGGCTCTGTGGCACTCTGTCTCACACAGAACAAAACACAAATCTGAACAAGCTTTGCAGTTCTGCATGAAAAAATTTGTACCATACTACTGTGTATAACTGGCATTTCAAAGAAATAAGTGCCATCCTTCAAGAGCTGAGTAAGTTCCACTTTGAAACTAAAGACACATCTGTGTACATCGAGAAAGGGAGATCCGGAATGTTCTAAACCGAAATGGTAATCAGCTACTGAGACATGTTTTGGTGCAGTTCAAAAGCAAAAGCATTCCGCAAGAACTGTCAGGGTGGCAGGTTTCAGTGCCTTGAAGCATTGCAATTAAGTTCCTGCTTTTTGCCAAAGTAAAATATGATGGTGGAAAACTTGATGATTTTGGCTGGAAAGATGAAGCTTTCCCAGCAGCATCTGTGTACATGAATATGTGCTGGTGTGAGGAGGAATGGGGAGAGAAGCAAGCTAGGGAGACTGTAGTTATCTCGAAGAACTGTTTGAAAGAACTCCAAATCCAGATGAAAATACTCCCCGAGTGTCTAAGTGTATGTGTGATGTGGCTGCTTAATTTTGAAAACTGAAAACACCTGATGAAAAATAAATAGTCGCCCCGTGGTCTCCACAGGGGACAAGCTCGGGGACCCTCCTGTTGATACCCAAGTCCACAGGTGCTCTAGTCCTTCATATGCATCAGGCTGTTCACACATGCCCTGTGCAGCCTCCTGTTGGTTTTTGCACATCTTGGGAGCTAAACCCGAGGCCTGATGCATGCTAGGCAAGCTCTCTACCACTAAGCAGTAGCTCACATCTCCCCACAGTTTAAACCATGTCGAGACTACTTACAATACCAATAAAATGTGAATTATATATAGATAGCCTTTTCCTGGACCGTTTATAGAATAGTAAGTATACACGTGTTCAGTTGAGATCCAGTTTGTTTTTCTAAGCAGCTCCATTGCTGGATGCAGAACTCAAAAATGCTGAGAGCCAACTGTATAACCCATCCTTCGGGTAACTGCCTAACTGCTAACATAAGGTGAATGAACTAAGCTTCAACTTCTGCATGAAATGTTTAATATTTAACTTGATTAGAGTAAATCATAAAAGTTATTTTTAATTCTTCTCATCTTCTGAGGTAAGGTCTCTTTTGAATGACTTTCAATTTCAGAACCATCTCTCTCTCAAAACTTATAAACAGACTAGTTTCAACCCACTGGAACTGAAATTGAGATATTACTACAGGATAGGAAAAACACACATTCCGTTTTTCTATATTTATATTGACTTTATGAATACACTTGTCCTCCTGTGAGTTGCATTTGAAAAAGCAGAAGTCCAGATTTCTCCTTTGTATGTCATTTCAAAACTACCATGTCATGTCAAAATTAACTGACAGCAGTGTTCCCAACCAGAGCGAAGGTGCATTGACTTTGTCCTTCCCTTGTAGCGAGTGTTCATCTGGGACTTGGACGAGACAATCATAGTTTTCCATTCCTTGCTCACGGGGTCCTATGCCAACAGATACGGGAGGGTGAGTACACAAAGCGCCAGCTTCGAACTACCGTAGAGCAAATGTGCCAGAATTGACTTATTTCCTTTTGTCAAATGAATGGCATTTAACTTTAAATAGTACATTTAAGATGTAAAAAAGAGCATGATGTATTAGTGTGGCCAAATACACATGTAACACAAACACACGTAAGTGGAGAAACAGGTTATTTTTAAGTCTTACCAATGAGACAGATTTCATTCAGTTCATGCTTATTTCTGATTCCAGTGAGAAAGGTGATGGGATGATACTTAAAATATGTAAAAAGATAAGACCTTTTGGTTGTGCTTTTTCTACTGGCCCTGTCCTTTATTCTTAAAACATTGAGTGGGGCAAATATCACTTGCTATTGTCTGCAGTGATTAGCAGCATTGGTGTTTTGCTTTTAAAACATCTACTATGGATACGTTGATGTGACCCTTTACTGTTGGGACTGAATTAATGTAAATGGTATGTAATGGTAAGCTTCTGAATGACAGTAGCATTAATACACACATATTAGAGTTATTTAATGTATATAGTATGGTATTTATTTTGATGAATTGGTAAAGAATAATATCACATATTACCTCCTACTAGTATACTGGTTCTTGATTTTTTCTAAAACCTTAGAAATTATTTGCAGTGTGTTGCTTGTTGATTTTAAAAGACTTTACCCATGTAAAACCTTGTTATTTGAACTGGTCATAAGTATTTTCTAAAATTACCCTGTATGTATTTCTTATTTTTTAATGGCTAAAGAAATAATGAGTCTTAGATCCTTGAAGCTAAGATTAGTTTGTATCCCCCAAAAATAAATTATTATATCAATGCAACAAGAGATTTATCAACATCAAAACTGACACCGTAAAAGTTAATAAGCTTACATTATAAATATAACCATGTATTCGTTTTTTCAACAGATACTTATTTCAATAAACATACATTTAATCCCCAACGTTGACTTAAGTCTGGAGGTGAAAGTGGGGCATTGTCTCCTAAGCTCCACAGTCCAGGTTTCCTAGTTATTAACAATAGCTCTAATCACAAACATCTTGGAGTGCTTGCACATACACATGTGCACACACATTCTTATAAGATCCTGACTATCCCATCATTTGAGTTTGTATCCAGCGATATATGTGAAGCACCAGATAGCCCATGTATTGTTAAATAAGTTCTCTGTGAGCAGACAATGACAATTATGTCAAAAACTCATCAGTCCAAAAGTTTCGAAAAGCCTCTACTAGGCAGTGAACACACCGGAGGGATTCAGTAAATTCCAGCAGGGTTATTGTTGGTGGTGTTTGTTTTGTATTAGTACTGTGATTATAGCAAGCTCTATTTTAAAAATGACTACATAAAAGCTAATTGTAATCTACAAGTAGTTAGTAGAGCCTTAACCATCATCTTCACTAAGCCACAGGGTGTCCCTACACTTCACTCGTAAATAAGAAAGCTGGCATTTCTGAACTCACAGAACTGTTGAGAAGAACAGCTGTTCCTGCAGGCAGTGTTTGAAATCGCACAGAAAAGCACAAGCCTTTAGAAGCTCCCACTAGAGGCCACGCTGATGCCCAGGGAAAGTGGCCACTGTTCTCAGAGCCACCAACAGAGCCAACTTAGAATACAGTGGTGTCACCACACACCCTAGTGAGCTCCTGGTGGCCTGTGGCATAAATTGTTGATTTGCATGTGGAGTTCCCACCAAGCTTGGGACCATTGGCTTAAACTTTTTTTCTTTCAGATTCTCAGCAATCTAGAGGCAAAATGTTCTCTCAGTAATGCCCACTCGTTAAAAGGTTTTTAAAAGTATGAGCCATTTGTATTTTGAGACTTCATCAAGGATTCCATGTGTTTTCTTTACTGTTACTGTAGTAGGGCACATGATCTGTTGGACTTTGTTGTTTTTCTCTCATATAACCTTCTAAAGTCAAATGTATACAGTCTGTAGACTAGGGCTCTCTGATGGGTCCCTCTGTCACTCTACTCTTCATTGACACATTGATGCGGTTTATGGGGAACTTCAGGAAGCCCATTTTGTTTTTCAACTTTTTGTTTTTATTTGTTGTATGTGCGTATGTGTACATGTGTACACACATGAATGTGAAGGTCATAGGACAACTTGTGGGGGTCAGTTCTCCCCATCCACCATGTGGGATCCAAGGATAGAACTCAGGTCTCTAGGCTGGGTTCCAAATGCCTTCGACTCTAAAAGCCTTTTACTTGTAGAGTAATCTCATAGACACCAGCAGCCTGTTGGAGGAGAATCTTCTGCAAGATGCAATCTAACTTTACATCTGAAGCCAGAATGGCCTCAGGTCACTGTGGCCATCAGAAAAAGTTGTTTTAAGCAGCAGAAACAGCAAGTGCAGGAGCATGGGAGGATTTGCTATTTGAGGGATAACAGGACTTGAGTGACAGCGTAGTGATGAAGTGGACCCTTTCTGCAGCAGATGTGGTCCAGGACGCCAGCCGAGTTCACAGGGCCTCCCAGCCATCTGCATGAAAACTGATTTCACTGGAGGAAACAAGGGAAGTCATGGGGGATCTCAAGGGAGAAGGTGATTTACAGCTTTACATCACTTTACATGTGCATGAAGAGTTAAAGGCAGGGAGCAAAGATAACTGGGTTTACTATTAGTGGAGAGATAATGGTTGAATTCTGGATTGTGTTGTGAATAGGATGTAGAAGTGACTTGGTTTGGGGCAGTATATAACAGGGAAGAGAGAAAGGTGATTCCTGGGTGGTGTCCTGAGCAACTGAGAGAATAGTCATGTTGAAATAAGGATGAGCTGATTGTTAGTAAAGTCTGGGAATTGGGGTGTTAGGGCAATCTTAGTGTTGACACACTTACTTGGACAAGCAAGAAGGCAGCTGGCAGACAAAGCCAGTGTCCTGAGAGAACTGGGCAGAGCTGGGGACCAGCTTTAGCGTGAACATTGTGACGCTTAGGACCGGAAGCACCTTAGACCCTTATCTGACTTCCTCCCAGACATTTGTTGAGCATCTGCTCTGTGCTGGATGCTATGACCAACCTGCTGTCCTTACTTAATATTATTCTCATTAAAGGACATTAGAATTGGGCAGAAGTTGTTCTCAAATCAAATAATCAACCCTTGAAAAATATGAGGTTTGTTCAGAATTCTTCTCAACAATGACAATAACCAAGCTGACTGGAATGGCTTGCATCCCTTTTGTTCTCCAGAGTCTGAAGGTAGCTTAGTGGCAATCTGCCTCTTTTTGGAGTGCAGATTTACTTATGTTCTTGACCATTGTCAGGGAAGTATGTGGCTCCGCCTTCCTCTACATGCATAGAAAGAAATGAATGCCTGACAATGTGGTAGCTGTTCTGTCTCTATGGCAACCAGATACTTGAGAAGTAGCTTAGTCACAGTAGCTTAGGCAACTCAATGAGTGGGCCATTCAGTAAGGGGATACGGGATCTGGTAGATATAATGCAAAATGAGGGCATGTTATAGCAGTATATAACCCCCTCCCAAGGTTTGAGAATATCCCACCTTCTGGGTAACCCTAGCTGTGGGAAGAAGGCATGCTGGGTATTAGACGGAAGTGTTGTTTTGTAACAAAGCGGGTGGGGACAGAAGGAGGGTGCTCTGTACAGCTAGCGAAGACAGAGGAAAGAACGACCATATTAACAGGAATGTAGAGTCTGGGGGTGTTACTGTCATTAGGGTGTTTCTAGTAATCTGCATTCTAGCTGTTTTTGTTTAATGCGTTTTGAAAAACTGTTTCCAAACCACATCCAAATTTCTGAATTTCACTAAAGAAAAATTAGTTTTTCCCCCATAGAATGTTCTTAAAACAGGCAATATAATCCAATTTTCAATATTGAATTATAAACCCCAAACTTAACAGTATTCAACTTACTATTGTGTCGATGACTCAAGCAGGGTCCTTGCTCATGAGAAATTTCTGGGAGTATCTTCATCCAAGTGCCTTGATCCCTTCAACACTTCCTTTTTATTGTTACTTAGTACCCCTTTCTCCTGAAATTTTGGCTAGTGTGGATATTAAAGAGTGTTACAAGTCATTCATCATTTTATGAAAAAAAAAGCATAAACACTTAAAACAGGAGCAAATGGCAGAAAGCTTGGCAGGTTGAATTGTGGGCTCTGTTCAAACTTCTTAACTCTCTAATACTCATTGAGTTCAACAATGGTGCCATGAAGCTCTCTTCCCAGGCAATTAGGCTGTTTTATTTGTTTTTCAAATTTGCTTGTTTTGTTAGCTTGGTTTTGATGTTGCTGTTTTCAATAGAGTCTTACATAGCCCAGGTTGGCCTGAAACTACCTATGAATCCAATAGGTCCCTTGAACTCCTTGATCTTCTTGCTTCCGCCTCCTAAGTGCTGGGATTACGGGCATGCACCCCTATTCCTGGCTTGTTACCAGGGTTAATTTATAGATTATGGATTAGAAATTGACATAATTTGAGATCATGCATAGAAAATATTTAAAATAGATTATATCTGGCTTAAATTGTTTGTTAAGTACATATATTTGAATGGAGATGAGACTTCATTGTCAAAACCCAACTACAGCAAGAGCAGTAAACCCCTTGACTTAACTGTCAGAAAACAACAAAACTCTTGAATCTTGACAAGGTTGCCAGTGAGTGATATGGCGACAGTGGCTTCAATCTCATGAAGTGATAGTATGTGGTACGTCTTATGGTGTGATGGAAATGGGAGATTTAAATTCAAATTTATCTGTCTTAGTTCTAGGCTCTTGACCATGGGCAGATTATTTACTACAATTGAGAGTTAACTACTCATCCACAGAACTACTTGGCTTGTAGAATTGCTCTAACGCTTACATTAAAGCTTGAATTGAGTAACACTGTGTCTTATTAATAGCAAAAACCAATAGAAAGTAAAGCATGCCACTTGTTGAACTTATAGCTGCCCTTGGAATATTTGTTGTAGAACATGCCCAGGTTCTGAGAGGCTCTCGGATGCCACTGTGACCTTACACTGACT